TGACGCCATGGCGACACCCGAGTGGCCAAAGTAAGTGGTTTCGACAGGGGAGTTGAAGCATAGGGGCTTTGTGGCAACGTCGTCGGCCTGTCTGTGGCCATGCTGAACTAGCACTTGCACACAAAAGCGAATACCACAGGACTCGAGATCACGACAATGGTAAGTTCATGTGCTGGATGTTGAAGATCCTATATTCTAAACACCCCAAACCTGATTTCGGCAGCTACAAGAGGTTCCTTGCGATTTTCAAAATATGGCACTGAATTTGTAGTTGGGGTACTGGTAGGGGTTGGGCCAACACGCTCACCACGTACTTGCTAGAATAGATGTAGCTTGGACTTGATGGTGCCCGGGGTCACCTTGGGTTGAGATACCTACGGTGGTGCTGTAGTTGGCTTCTTTGTTTGAAATTCTTGGCTTGCTTTGCTTCTTTGCTTCTTTGCTTCTTTGCTTCTTGGCTTCTTGGCTTGGGATTGGGGTTGGCTTGTTGGCTTCTTGGTCTTAGCTCCTTGCCTCAGGATTGGCTTCTTGGGTTGGAGTTGTGGGCGCGGGGTGTCCTTGAAGTTCGTTCGGGTGTGTTGGACTCGTGCCGCTAAGGATTGATTCAGTAGAAGCTCGGACTAGCTGGGAAATACCTTGGGGTAGCTCCGAAATACCTCGCGGTCATACCGTCGAACCGTAGGGTTTACAATCCTTAACCCTAAACCCTGAACCAAATCCTACAAGAACCCCCTTGCCTAGTTTGACTATTGGCACCTAGATAGTAGTAAGTATTGGGGAAAAAATAGTTCTCTTAAGATAGGTATTAGGTTGGTGGCATTTTTCTACGAGGTGGACTTTGCCTATTTTCGGGTGGTGAGATCTGGCTGTGGATCAATGGTTGTTGTTGGGGGGCAAGTGGGCTGGTTTTGATGCAAAATGTCGTGGAACAGGGCTTTTGGGGTGCAGTTCTTGAAGGGCTGGTGAAGAAGCTGGCAAAATCTGTTGAGTTTTTGAGGGGAAAATGGTGCGATTTTTTGGGGTGAGGGCTGTTGGTGTGCTCGTTGAAAATTGGGACGCTGAAAATTTGGACGCTTGGGGGCAAGTGGTTGGCTGGTTGAAAATGAGAAAACGAGGTCTGAAAAGTTGGAAAAAGCGGTGGAAAATTGATGGTATGCTCGTTGAGAAAATATTTGGTGATTCGGGGATGTGGGGGATGAAGTGGTATGCTGTTGGAGAAAGTGGTTGGGAAAAATGAGTGGGAAATTGGATTTTGGTGTGTGGTAGGGTCTATGTGTGGTGCCAATAGCCTAAATAGGCAAGGTATACTCTAACTGCTTTATGGGGTTGCACGACAGCCCCAAGCCGTGCACCCAAGACCCTGCGGACAGGCCTGAGAGGGTCTGTGGTGTCGAAGGCTCGACTCCTCTTAGCAGACAAGCTCGGCGGGTCTTGCGCAGTTTTCGGCACAGAAACTGTTAAGATTCTCGATTTCGGCTGTCAGGTTCTTGGGTTTAAGGCTTTGTTGTGAATTGCCAGCTCTTTGGTGTGGGCAGGGAAGCCCTGGAAAAGTGGAAAACAACTGCAGCAACAGGCCCGGGCCACGAACCAACAAACAGCACCTGTACATCTACATCGAGTGGGCAAGAAGTTCTACAGAACCGGCAGCTCGGTCACATTGACTGCGCTCGCCTGCCAAGCAGAACTGAGCCGCTCTCCGCATGTGCCCGAAGAGCCACCGCAAAATCACCGACAATCCAAACTGAAGTCGGAGATGCTGAAACTCGTAAAGACAAGACTTGAAGCATAGCCCAAGAATGCAATCGTCGCCTGCAGGGCCGCCGGCTGCCTCTCACATGAAAACAGAACAGTTCGGAATGGTGGGTGCTTTGTTGCTGTTGATTTACATAGCCGAACAACCTGAACCCTACCTTTGCTGAAACACTCCATATCGAAACATTTTGCGCGCGAGTCCCCTCATCCTAAAGGATGCATGTTGAACAGCTGTGTTTGCCAATGGACAGGCATGGCGCCTAGGACTTCCTGAAATCACATCTCGGCGTTCTCGGCGCAGTCTCCGAATCCAGCATCTATCAAAGAACGGAAGACAGAAACTAAATTCGGCACTCTGGTGGATTGAGACGATCCATCGGCCGTTGGATTCTCAACACGCCAAGTCCTGGAAGCTTGCTCCTAAATGCCTCTGCACCCGACCTCCTGGGCCGGTGTTGGAGAAGAGCCAAGTCGTGAGTCGGTTCTCGGGGGCTCTCGCTCCAGCCTTCAGCTGCAGGAGTGTTTGAGGTGTTGAGTCTCGGGTTTTGAGAGGAAATTAGCTAGCAAACTTACGACCTGCCCCGGGAGCAACACTCTTGAACACGGATCTTGTGGTCGTGCAGCGTGGCAGGACATGAGATGTTGATGCTAGCGGAAACATCCGGCGACGCGCACAGGAAGGGATTTAAGATATCTCTAATTTATGGACTTCGGCTCTGGGGGCTGCTTTGGAGCCTGAGGAACAATACATCCCCGGCAGGGTGAACCCGAGTCACACAAACCACTGACGTGGAGGTTCGCAATCCGACACTGCCCCGAAGTCCCAACCGGCAAACCACAACCCCGAAACCAAACCCTGAATGCATATATAGAGAGAGGCTCAGCGATGCACTGAGCACAACACCGGATCCTCCGTGCTGCTCCTGCTGAGCCTGGCTGGGTAAGCTCAAGATATCTCAAGATCTGCGCCTGCCTTAGACCATACGTAACAGGGAATATAGCTGTTCCATCGGTTGAACTCGGCCCTGCAGAATGGACGGTACCAACAGGCCAAGCCCGGGCTGGGTGTGCTACGAGTGGTGCCCGATGGTTGCAACGTCTGGCCGTCTGGCCTTGCCTCGAAGCTGTAGAGCCCTGCTGCCTACTTGTCTTGCACGGTTCCCAACATGAGTTACCAACCCGTGAGATACAGGAAACTGATTTTGGCATCTGCAAGACCCTGTTCGCCTTTGCAGCCTCAATGGCTCGCATCTGCCGCTGCCTTTCCTCTGGGTCATGATCTGTCAAGTCCCAGCTCTGGCTTCAAAGCACCGCCGGTCTACTCCATCAGCTTCAGACCTAAAAATAACAGTGTTTGGGTCGCGGAGGTCGAACGACTAGCCAGCCCGCGGTCCTCCTCTGGCATGTCGCCCTTGCTGTCTTGAAGAACGGCATACTTCATGTTCTGAGCGAATGACCTCATAAACCTCAGAGGTTTGCAGGGCCAAAGAGAGGGACTGAGTGGATGCGTGTGGCTAATGTAAGTTGGTGGTCCGGACGAAGGTTGTTCTGCTTTAAATCTCACACGGGTGGTGTAAGCTTCGGACTGGGACATGAGGCTTCCACTGCGCATGTGGCGCGCCCTCGCACGGTCCTTCATGCAAGCACACAAGGATGCGGAAGGCCCTGCTGGGCTCTGCAGTTTGAGCTTTGCGGCACCGACTTGGGTCCTCCAGCGCAGTGACGAGGTCTTCTTGGCCTGGGCCCGCAGGCGCTCCCTCGGGCTCGACCGGAATGGCCGGCGCCAAGTGCATCCTGTTGGGGGGAACCCCGCCCAAAGGCCAGCTGCCAGCACAGACTCAGCTCGGAAATTGAAAGGATTTCCTTCTCTCCGCGCATCCAACACTAAGTCCTCGGACAGCACAAAATCATCTGCACTCCTAGACACTTCGCCACAGAACCACAGAACCAAAAGACCAAAAGACGTCTGTATCTACTCGGTTACTCGGCTTACAGAACATTCGCCACGGCTACACCATGAAAGCCCCATCAGTCCTAGCAGGCGCGGCTCGTCTGTGCGCGGGCACGGACTGAATCAGGGGACACCAGAACTGGCTAGAGACTCCTCATGTTTTTTCAAGTGATTGGGGCATTAATTGTGCAGCTCTCCTCCCTTGTCAGAGAACTTCACGATGTCCCTGTATCCCCGTCTCAGATTGCCCCAGACCCGAAACGAGGTTTCTAGATGTGGTCACAAGTGCCACGGCGAAGCCAGAGGAACAACTGCTTTTCTTGAATTATTTCCAAGCGGTCCATATCTCGGTGTCCTTCATGTGGGAGCTTGCAAGGTCCGACTATAGGCTAGTGACTTTGATCTAGCAGGCTGTAGAAATTCTGGAGTCGGAGCTTGAGGACTACGCAGTTTATTGACACGAAGATGCGACACTTCAGAGTTTGAGGCTGATGCCCTGGAAATCGCTTCAGAACCTCGTCGCATCGACACGGGTCCCAAGTGCTGCCGGGACGCCTCAACATGCGGCTCCAAACTGACCTCGGCATCTGGGGGGCAAGCCCAAGATGTCTGTTGCTGGGTTCCTTCCCTATCATTCACTTCCCAAGCCGTTGCTTGCAGAATTTTGACACGGCACATCATGTCGTGACCGCTGTGCATTGCACAGGCCTACTCATAACCGAGCAAAACACTGGCTCAGGCCGTAGGACCTTGCAAGGCAGAATTTTACAGGGAACAGAACCGAATTGAAATCTGGTCTGGTATTCAAGACGACGCCTGGTATATACCAAAGAAAGCGAGAATCCAGTACGTATGCTAGAAGAAGAGGTCAAGGGTCGAGAAGAGGTGCACTTTAAAGAAACCTGGATTCTTGTCTTCGGTCCTGTTTTGATGCCCATGTTGAGCCGAGGATACAAGGCTTCGGTTGATGGTACCTCTGGCTGACACGCCTAAACCCTCGAGCCCAGGCTTCTCCGTGCCGAGTTCCGCACGGCCTCGTCGAAGTCATCACCCACGCACGCCACTGGCGTTATGCCTTGGCGTTGCGGCTGGCCAAAGATATACGATGAGAAGGTGCTAAAGTTACAGTGTAAGTCGGTGCGTGACACGAGACAGGAGATGGGAGGCCACACGCATATGGGCCTATGATGGGCATTGCTCATGGCTATGGTTCATGGGCCATGACATCGAAGGGACCCCTAGCACACCTCAACCAGAACCTTGTTCCGACAGTCGGTCAGAAGCCACAAATTTCGAGAAACTCTCCCATGGCTGATGCAACGCCGCATGTGAGCCGGATGATGTTGCAGAAGCTGAACACGGCGAACAGGGTCTCGGGCGTAATCAAAATACTCCGTGCTTCCTAGTCTTACTCACCCCCGCCAATCCTACAACTTTGCAAATGAACCAGAATGGTAGTTCAGATTCGAGGGAACCGAGTTGACCGTGACACCTACGATCTTGTATGTGCCTCAACCAATAAGTCAGTAAGGGCCCGACCCCGTTCATCTACAGCCTTCCATCGTTCAAGCCTACTCTAAGCAAACCCCAAAACTCTGAATCCCAAAGCACGATCTAAACGCCCCAGAAACTGATCACCAAAAAGCCGATTCGTCCTGTAAATGCCTGCCGTGCAAAAACCAGGGCTTCGAGGCTGTGGCTTCCAAAGACCAAGCACGCCAGTGCAAGGCCTTGTGTAAAGGTTATTCGATCGATGCTATTCAGGCCGGATCATCCGGAGGTTGGCAAAATGTTACGGCTCACCGCCAGAAATGATAAATCCTCTAACTTCTAACCTTCAACTTACCAGACAGGCGAGGGGTGATGTATGCTAGACATATGTATATATAACTTATATAACATATAGGGTGTAAAATTTCAAATTTCGACATAACATATATGAGACATATGAAGTTAGATACAAGGTATAGGCTATAAGATATAGGATATAGATATAGACTCAGATATGGGCATACAAATTAGGTGTCGGTATATATATATATACACATATGAATATATACATATACATATATATATATATATATAGATAGATATACACATGCGTATATATATATATATATATACATAAATAGAACTTGATACATATATATATATATATATACATATGTATATAGCCCCGGATATGTGAAGAGGCAGAGCCCCCCTACGGGTGGAGGTATCTTGTGCGCGAAGCCCGTATGGCCCCCGAAATGCTCCAACATAAAGCCCCTGGAGCTGGTGGTCATTACATCTACCTTTCAATGTCCTGCCCCACTGAAAGGGAAATGTTAGCTTTATCAACAGCCGCAGCCTGAACGCAGCCTGCTGTTGCAGCAGTTTCGGGAGTTGCACAGTATTGCTTGGACACGAAGGGCCAGTGATGGTGGATTTTTGTCAGGGAGGAATGTGAAATTGTGAAATGTCGGGCACATCGTACACTTGCTGAGAGTGGGGCAGAACTGCGGCCAGCGCATGCTCCCGAGATGGTGTGCAATCGGATGGGTTTGCTTCCTTAAATTCCTTAAATTAAGTTTCTGATCGTGACTATGATGCTTCGAGTTTGCACATTTCAGGGCAGGGTGCTGGGGTGCAATTAGGGCTTGGGCCAGCTTGGGGCCGGGGCCAGGGCCAAGGAGAAAGGGGAATGCTGGGAAGTTGAGCTCTCCTCCCCTTGCCTATATAGGGGCCTAAGCCCCCCCAAGGCCCGCTTCGTTCACTGCTGCGGTCATGAGGCGCAATCCCTGACGTTCGGTGTTTGGAAATTTCTCAAGTCTTAGACTTTGGGGGCGAACGTCGGCGTCCAGATCGGAAGCACGAAACAGAAACGACTGGAAGCAAGGTCAACCACCCTGCAGTGGGAGAGGCACCAAACGAAATGCCGCTTCTGAACATACTCCCAAACATGACGATTCAGGCACGGACAGGCACAGCTAAGCCCACATACTGTACCACATGCAGCTACTCCAGCACTCGTCAGCCTCTGAAGGGTTACATGCCTGAAAACCAGCTGCAAATGAACTGTCGGAACTGACAGAACCACAACCAACAATAACCAACACAAGTCTCTCATCATCGCTCAATGGCACAGCGCACCGCACATGCTCGTGCTAATTTCAGGGCGTGGCTGAAGCCTACAGGTCTTGGGCTTGAGCTAGGGCTTGCTTAGGATTTCGGGCTTGGGCAAGGGTCGCGGGCTAGAGCAGTCGAGCGGACTTTGCTTGCTCAGCTGACGGTAAACCTTCAGTACAGAACCACAGCTACGGACCTGCATACCCCAAATCCATGCCAAAGCCCCAAAAGTCCTACGATCGCTTGGCTGCTGGTTCAGACAGCCAGAACCGAGAACCTTGATGGCGGATGCAGCAGACTGCTTTTTGTTACGCTTTTTTTCCTAGCCCAGATCGGCCGGGTAGAGTTTATGCGAACCTGTCAATCCTGGCTGGTTGCAGGCTCAGGTCTCGGAGAAGTTGGGGCTACATCAGAGTGAAAGAAGTATAAGACGTAATGCAGGGTGCAGCACCAGCCAGGACACTATCGAATTGCCAGCGGCTGGGCGCTTGTGACGCGTAAATGGCCGGCAGATGGCAGGTAGACCGCACAGAATCGCAATTTGATTGACCAGGCAAGCGCAGGTTTTGGGAAAGAGCCTTGAAAGATCCACCCATCCTAAACGATTAACCGATGCATAGACCAACGTGGATATCTGATGTTTTGGCTTCCAGGTACGACGATCTTAAGTGCATGCTCAAGAGGGTTAAACAGATGAGGAGAGCGGTGGACGCGATCCGACCTCTGGATCAACACTGAAACGGAACCTCGGTGCGTGATCTGATGACTGCCCAGATATTAGAGGGCTCTGAACACAATGCCCGGTCCCGCGCTTGCCTGCAAATTGCACGAGTCAGTATCCCGCAAAGTCTGACTTCAACCATGCCGAATGGATCAAACTCTGGCGGATTAGAGTTGGGCTCAGGGCTTGGGGCTTGGGGTCTGTCGTTCTCCTGATTCCTGGCTGAGAAGCCGAACGCCCTAAACACTGGAACACGAGCTAGCTGCTCTCCAGTCCCAAAGACTGACACTAAAAAAAGAGAGCAGCCCTCACCCAGGAGGCAAGATTCTCACGCAAGACCTTGCATCCCATACCCTCAAATCCACAAGCTACAGCGCACAAAGTTCTAAACACCACTACAATGTCACCACAAGACTTCAAGTGCGAACCTCTGAAGCCCCACTCTTCCAAAGTTCAGACCACAGAATCCTGTACGAACTCACAACAATAGGCCTGAGGTGTCGCGGGCAATTGTTTAGGGGGCGTGGGGTATTGGGTTGTGTATCGGGGCTCAGCGAGTTAGCCTTCTCAGCTTTGTCGCACCAGGGCAAGTCTCAGCACGGGGATTACCTCCCAAGACAGGGTCTGGGGCGTGCCGAACGAAGATTCAGGCTTGTTCGGGCCTAAAACTCGAGACGCTTCTTGAGCGTATTCGTAAGTCTCTAGACACACAAGTGCGTGTACATTTGCTGACAGCTCGCATGGACTGGGAACATGCACCTCTGGACTTGGACAAGAAACCATGTGCAAAATTTCACGAAGTGGAAGTTGGGCCTAGCATCGTCAGAGTCGAGAGATTCGCTTTGTAACAACACTCTTTTTGAATCCAGCTGAAACCAGCCGGGTGGAGCCTGAACTGGAATTTGACGGTGGGGATGACAACGTCAACGCCGTCGTCCAGGTCTGATGCTGAAACCTGACGGATGCTTGAAGACCCAAGATCCCCCGGCTCCGGGTTGGATTTCATGTGTGGGATGCCCAAAGATAACTTGTAGGGTGCTGTCATTTTGTCGTGGAGGACTGGCTCGACGCTACTTCAAGCTGCTTCCTAGGCTTCCTATATTGCTTCTCTGTCACTTCTAAGCAGCATCTAGGTCACGCAAATTTACAGAGGAACCCCACGCAACACGAAGGACCCCTGCTGTACGTACGAAATGACCTCCTTGTGTTTTGTGCGAGATGTCAGGCGTAACAGCTCTTTGCGCTGAGTGTTCCTAGCATTGTTGCTGACTCGCACGACATTCTGCAGAAGGCCTGATGCCTACAGAGAAACACAGCGGCCTCCAAGGTCAGGTAGGTCTTCTTCTGTGACAGCTTCTGCTTGGTGATCGTCTCCCAAAGCGTCGTTATCTGGAGGCCAGGGGTGCCGCGATGAAGGGATCAAGCAATGCACAAGCATCTCCGAGGGTTTGCATGCAAACCTACGGCGTCGGTGCTTCGCTCTGTTTGCTGTGCAAGTTCTGCATTGCTGTGAGTTGGATGGAAGCTTGAGCTTCGAAGTGGTTTTGCGTTGCGACAGTTTTTTTTATTGGGCGTTTTCTTCCGAACCCACCCACCCTCCCGGTGTTTCGGTATAACACACAACGATAAATCCAGGCTGCAAGGCCTGTTTGTATACAGCCTGAGTAGGTGGACTTCCCGCCAGGCAGCCGATACTCCGAAACCTTCATCTCTAAATGCAGATCGTTGAAACCTAATTCGATCCGACAGCAAGCATGGCTGCGCCAAAATTGCTAAATTTTCTCGAGCTTTAACCCTGAAGCCCTGCCTTCTCCTGTAGCCGCTTCTTATGCGCCGGGATGTACCTGAAGGACCACTACTCTATGAACACGATTCTGGATTGGACGGGTGATTGCAGGGGCGGGGATTCCCGTCAAAGTCGGCCCGGATGTTAGACTTTGCAAGGGGAAGAGTTCAAGATGCGGGTTTCGGCTTGAGCAGTAGCATTCAATGTGAGGCATTTATGTGATTCGCGATAGCCGAAAGCCTGCTCTGAGATTCAACTTCTGGAGACAGCTGCCAACCTGGCATCGAGCCATTGACGTTCTTTGGACAGTGACATCTGCAAGGCTCGGTACAAGGAAACTAAAGCTCCAACCTTGACCTGAAAATTGTGTGAATCCGAAAGCCAACACACCACTGGAAAGGCGATCTATCACTCTCGTCCGAAACCCTCGAAGACGCCAGAGCAAAGCGCACGAATTGTACAGGCATGCGTTGCCCGAAGACATGATCATGACTTCGATGCTGACCTGTGGAGGATGGCTGCTTGGCAGCTGGGTTGAGAGCTTGAACTTCTTCTCGTTGTACTCTGTAAGTACATCTAGATGTAGATGCATAAAGGGGCAGGCGTTGCTGGGACCGTGGAAGCTTTGCAAAAAACGGAGGCCCTCACCACGCCCAGGCAATACATTAGCAGCTACCAGTTGAGTTGAGGGCGAAGGAGCTTTGGCTCTGTCAGACTCTGTCAGAGCTGGTCTCGTTCACAAGGCGCTGTACGCTTGGCGAGGCGTGTAAAAGCTTGTTCAATTGTAGGGTCGGGGGGATCTTCGAGTCCTGGACGCCTGATGGGTTTTGCTGCAAGTTGCGGCAGACAGCATTACATTCTGGCCTTTACGTGGCTTTGCCAGTGCTTCCAGAACCCAGGGAGGCAAAGGTTTCGCCGCCGTGCCCAAGGAGATGCTCTCTGACGAGGTGGACATTAGAAGCAGAGCTCTGCATCACGAAACCCTGCAATCTGCAACTTCTGAGCCCCTCAGTCCCATAACGAACCTCCCCAATAAATTACAAATCGCCAGGGATCCAAAGTTTCCTTTGCCAGTTTGACACTGGCTCCGCCTCTGCAGTCAGCCAATCGAGGAATTCTTTCCTTGCAACCGCTGAAGGAGTCTAGCGAACAAACGCTTTGCTGATGCCATCCTTTCAGGGAGTCTGTGTCGCAACAGCTTCGGCTGCAAGACATGGGCGGGTTGATGTTTCGAGGCTTGCATTTAAGGAGGTTTGGAAACCTTTCATTACCGCTTTCCACATAAAAATCTGGGCAATGCTGTACGGCTTTCCATATCGGGGACGTGGGATATTGGGCTACTCGCGGCCCATGCTCTGAAGTGCCGGCCGGACAATGACGCATGTCCGGAAAGCCATTGTCGGCCCTGCTGTGACATGCATGCACAGCTCTCGCGGGCTTGCAGCTGGTCATCCTCCCGGCCTCTGACAGCGTCTCTCCTCTACTCCAACCGATTCCAGGCCAAGTTTCAGAGTCACGTCCCCCAGCTTGCATTCTACCTCCGGCGGCTGCATGAAAGCACACGCAGTTAGGACTGGACCAACACTCACGGGGTTTCGGGTCCTTTACAATCCTGCAACACGATCGCAGAAGACACAGCACCAAAACCACGAAGAACGACTAGACGGGCAGAACAGTCTGATGCCTCCCCCTTCCTTGGCAGTCCTTCCTCATATTGAACTCCTGTTCAAGCTTCATAGATCCGAACTGTTGAAGCCTCAATTTCCGAGATCCTTCGAATCTTGCCGCTTCAACACCAGTCAAAGACTACAGAACTCCAAAGTGACACACTTTTCAGAACATGTTCAAGTCTTCGCTCGGCAACACCGCAAGCCCCAAAACGTGAAACTCGGTTTTCTGCATGCTGAGCCAGACTTTCGACCCAGAGGACAAGTTGCCGTAAACGGGTCAAACTATTTGCAAGGCGTGGCCCGGCCTTGTCCCAGGTGGTGAAGCCCTCTGGTCTTGCCTTGACCTGGCGAAGATGTTAAGGCAAGGGGGCATTTCGGATGGCGTTCAAGGTAGGGATGCCTTCTTCACTTAAAGACTTCGGGATTTACGGGTTATTACGGCATGCTGGACGGGGTGGAGATCTCCCGGTCAACAGCTCTGTGCGTTTGTTAGGAAGCCTACGATTCCGTTTCATGCTCAAAGGCGGCTTCGAGCGGAAGTTGAGGCTGTATGTTCTCCGAGTGCACACGGGAAGCTGAAAGCTTGCACATCTCCAATCCTGTGCTTCAGGTTCGCTCAACTTCAAGTCCTGCATGGTCGATTCGCTTGCAACTGACCCTTTATCTAAGAGGCCCTGTAGGTATGAGTCTTGACCCCCTTGACCCCCCTCTGCATGACCAAACCCGAAACCGAATCAAAAACAACTCAAATCGCGAGTCCTGCCAGAGTTTACGCATCTGGGGTCAATGCCGGGCCCATCACGATGGGATCGTGCTCCTTGCTCACCGTCTTCATTGGTGGCAGAGGCTCTGACCTGACTTTCGTGAGCTCTGAAGAGCGCAGGGCCAGGTGCTACACACTGTTGAGGGCCAAGGCTACTGCGCTTGAGGCAAAAGAACGGCATGTGATCCGCATGTGATGTGCACTTCAACTGAACCCTAACTCTTGTGTCGTGCCCGAGCTATCGCCCCGCCTCCTCCTGCTTGCTGCCTTCAAGCACTCCCTTCACAACCAAACACCCCAGCCCGAGCTGTTTCGCTTTTGCAAAATTTGATTAAGCCCCAAGTTCGGCTCTGACGTCCCAACAAAGGCGATTGTGCGAGGAAGAGGCCCACTGCAGTTAACAGCATCTTCAGATTCTCCGGGCGGATGCGACATGACATAACCTGTAACACTTATTCGACAAATGATCTTTCCAGTCCTACGCCCGAGGCCCTGAAAATTGACTGAAGGGCAGGCTCAGCTTCCCACAATACCCAAAGGGGCAAGGCCAAGGTGACGAAGGCATTTTTGAAGTCTTCAACCTCGCCACCGGCTTCAAGCCAGTGCTTTGAGCCCTCATGCTCCTACTACTCCTACTCTCAAGACGCCTTATGATAGCGCTACTACCGCCAGCACCTCCTCCTCCTGCTTTGCTACTATCACCACTACTACTACTACTACTACTACTACTACTACAACAACTACTACTACTACTACTACTACTCCTACTGCTGCTGCTGCTGCTACTGCTACTGCTACTGCTACTGCTACTGCCACCGCCACCGCCA